AGGAAATGATCAAATTCTATCGATCATTGAAGCCACTATCTTGAAGATGAATCATATTGGTGGAATTAGCAATATATAGATCGAGAATTTCCGACCTCTCAATGCAGCATCACATCTTTCCTTGATGTAGGTAGAGTACAGTGCCTGGAAGATCTGAAGTTCAATGCTGAGAATGAGACGAATCATTTTTGATGAGAATACTTTTCCTGTTTCACTAACTTTGCATCAAAAAAGGAATATGTGGATAACTTGTCAGTAGTTATCGAAGAACAAGTGCCTTTCCTTAAAAAAATTATTTGTTGAAATATCTCGAGATATGACAATTGTATCTAGTAGAATACCTATGGTTGTTCTAGGTCAACCCAATCAGAGGTTAGCATTCACCGTTACGGAATTAAAATTATTCGTGTGACGTTTTGCCACTGACATTTTTGTGACATTTTTGTTGAACCTTGCCATTCTACTACTCACAGCCGGTTCCATAGATGTCGTCAAAAAGTATCTTTACAAGTAGAAAACATCATCAAAAATTCAATTTTGATGCTGTCAAGAATTCTGATACCTTCCATGAAGCCAATGCAATTTTTCCTCACCTGAAGGTTCGCATATCTATTTTCGATATATCGACGGCAAATTATTTGGTTTGAATAAGCCATTTTCACACACAACAATTATCAATGAGAATAGAATCGTTATCGAAGCCAGGAAAAAAACAAGCACCATTTATCATAGCAGACGAAAAATGCTTGTTGAATAAAATTCCTGCCGAACGTCATATCATTGGGAGTAAAGAAACTCATGGAGAAAGGGAGCTAGTTCAGAGAAGATGTAGACAAAACTGAAAAAAAAATCATAAAGAAGAATGTAATTTATAAAATTTGAAGTTGGAATCATGAGAGCCTTATCAAATAAAAGACAATAATGCATTAAATGAAAACAAGGTTCAAAATAATATTTTTTCTGTGACTGGAAAAAAGTTTGGCATTCCATATATGTTGGAAGGTTATATTAAATGTCACTTTTCATGAATAACTTTTGTCTCGTGGGAAAAAAGTGAGTACTTTCTTCCCGGATATATATCACATAAATGTTGATGGCTTTTGTTGTGCCATAGTTTCAAAAAATGAGTCAATAATACCGTCTCCGAGAGAGAACTGTAAGCCCTTTTATCTTCCATTCGACTTCGCGGTTATGTATATTACTGAACAACCACTGAATTCACAATTTTTTGAAATCAAATCACAGAATAAGCATGACAGAAGTGACATCAGATATTTGAAATCTTCAGAAGAATGATAAAAATGCCTACAACGCGGGTGTCTCTACTGTTGAAAACTTTAGATTTCACATCGATAATTTTCAGATTTCGAAATAAAGTAATATCTTCCCTATATTGATTCGTCCTTTCTTCTGTAACAAAAAAAATAGTGTACTACCCTAATAGCACACAACGTCCTAAGGACGTCCCTATTTGGTACAATTCACGTCCGGATGTCCCGAACCAAAAATTAGTGTTCTTGGGACGTCCCATCCCATACATCTCATGCAATGTCCCAGCAAGGACGTTCACGGAATGTCCCAGCTGGTACATCATTTCAAATGTCCTAGAAATAGCATCTCTTAGACGTCCCACGTGGTACATATTGTAGAATGTCCCTGCAAGGACGTCCTTGGCATGTCCCTGATGGGATATGATTTTAATTGTTCCTTAGGGACATCCATCGGATGTCCCGAGTAGTACACATTCTGGCATGACTTCAGATCCTATATAATGTCTGTTCTAGACAACCATCAAATGTCCCTGATGGTACATTCCTTCGAATATCTCTGCACAGACACCCTTAATATTTCCAGGATCGTATAACAATCGAAATGTTCCTCAGGGATATCTTTCGAATGTCTCTCAGGGATATCCATCGGATGTCCCAATTGGTACATGAACTGTACTCTTCCAATGTCCTAGAAATAACGTCCTATGGACGTCCCAGTCGGTACTTTCAATACGTTGTCCCTGCGAGGACGTTAACTTACACCTCGCCGACGAATGATTGCTCGTAGGCTATAAGTACTCCTCGTCAATGTCCTTCACGTAAGTCCATTGGACATCCGTGGGAAACTTTTTGGGTACCTTTTACGGACCATCAACTCAACTGGATGTCCTGATCCGTAATCCTAGAGGGACCCAGGAAAATTCGAATTGAAGAATAATTCGTACGTCCATGGGACATCCTATGGACATCCAATTGATATCCCTCAGCGATGCTGATAGGTAGTCCTATGGATGTCCTGAGGACGTCCCCTGTAGTGCTTGATGAGGAATACTGTCGGATTTAGGTATTCGATAGTTGCCCCAGGGACATCCCTCAAGGACGTCCCTAGTTGGTCCTCAAGTGGGACATTTGTGCGTCCCACAGACGTCCACGGTACCAATTTCGAACGTCCTATGGACGTCCTGAATGTACCGACAGGACGTCTTAAGGATATCCATGGGACATAAGTGTGTTATTAGGGTATACACGGAAAAAATATTAGAATCAAGCTCACGGTGTTTTGTCTCCCTTCGCCTAGCGTCGGCAAACAACACAACCTGGAGCTGAAATCTTCTACTTTTTCCCCTTATATCATGAATAACTATTGTTGAAAAACTTTGTGATCATTAACTGAGCATTCAATGCTACAATATTATTAGGAATATCAGCTGCATTGTTCACATTATTATCTGCTCTTCATATCTTCATTAATTCACCAGCGGTTATCAATGAATTTCTCATCGCATGAGATAGGTATACAAACATTAGATGATCCATTGGTTCGATGTAATCACCTCTGTTATTTATTTTTTCTACGACTGCTATGAAAAGTAGCGTAATTCTCATGGCTTACTCAATTTCAAAACCACGAATTGCTCATACCTGTGAGAAATATTATTTCTCACAGCACTTTGCCAACACCACGCATAGTAGGTACCTTTTATATGGAGAATCAACTAAAATCGACAAAAACTTAGTTGGCCGCTGTTGTCACGAACAACTGTCAACAGAATTTATTTCAATTTTTGAGGTAGTTATCAATCGTGTTTCGATAAAAAATCGCAATTTCATTGAATATTAGTAAGACATAATATACATATTTGTACCAGTGATAGGTAAATAATATGGAAACTTATGAAAGCAGTGACGATTTTGACAATACTCCACCAGAAATATTGGAACAAGCGGCAAAAGTAACATTAGATTTGTTGCCGGAAATTTCCCGAAAGAAGTATGAATTGGCATATGGGAAATTCATGGAATGGAGAAGAAATACGAAAATAAAATCGTTTTCGGAAAGTGTACTTTTGGTATACTTCGAAGAAATGTCGAAAACTTTGAAGGCGTCAACACTTTGGTCACAATATTCGATGTTGAAAAGTACCATCAGTATTAAACATAACATTGATATATCCACGTATCAAAAATTACGTGCATTTTTGAAAAGAAAGTCTGACAATTACTTCCCAAAGAAATCAAACATATTAACAGCCGACCAATTGCAGAGATTTTTAAAAGAAGCTCCAAACAAGGAATATCTACTAATAAAGGTGGGTTTATTATTTAAATTGAACTATTTTTCGAATTTCTTCCGCTTTTTTCCTCGAATTAACAGCTTTTTATAGTTAGTGGGTGTATTCAGTAGGTAAAAATAATTAGATAATCTTCAAAAAGTCAATTTCATATTGTGGAAGATGAGTATATGCCTATGAATAACTATTTTAATAGCTACTCCGTGGTGTAGTGGTAGTGCTTCCGCTTAGGATACTAGCGGCCCGGGGTTCAATACCCGGCCAGGGATGATATATTTTTTTAATTATATAAATGATTTTACATCCTGATATTTTTATTTGTAGGTTGCAGTGGCTATTGGCGTAGCAGGGGCATGTCGTAGAGATGAACTGTGGAAATTAAAAGTCGATGATTTAGAGGATCTAAATTCGGCTTTGTTGGTGAAATTAGATAACACCAAAACAAAGAAGCCAAGAACTTTCACTGTAACGGGGGAATTTTATAATATATATAAAAAATATGCCGCTCTTCGACCGAATGATTTGGCAGAAAAACGTTTCTTCTTGAATTACCAGAACGGAAAATGTACTAGACAAGTAGTCGGCATCAACAAATTTGGTAGTATGGCAAAGAGAATTGCAATTTTTTTAAAATTGGAAAATCCCCATTTATATACAGGACACTGCTTCAGACGTTCTTCGGCAACAATTTTAGTAAATGCAGGAGGTGACATATTAACCTTAAAGCGCCATGGAGGATGGCAATCCAGTACCGTGGCAGAAGGATACGTCGGAGACTCTATTAAAAATAAAATGGACGTTGCAAATAAAATCGTCGACTCTATTGAAAAACCAGTAGAACTATTCACTGAAATGGAGACAGAAAATGCACCACTGTACATAAATAATCAACCTTCAACTTCTACTTCTACAATTAATATAACAGAAAATTTACTCAAAAACAATGACTTTCCTGGTTTGACCATACAAAATTGTAAGAATTTCACAATTAACTATAATTTCAAATGAATAATTCAACTGTTAAGAGGTAGGAAACTTGTTATAATGTTATGTTATTTTAGTTCTGCTATAACCCATAAAAAATAAAAATTGAGTTACATTGTTCTTTGAATATGTGCAGTCGTAGAAAAAGTATAGTGTGCAACATGTGGGGAAAAGTACTTTCCTCATTCGTGTGTTTGCGGCACTCGCCTTTCAGGCTCGTGCCACAAACTTCCACACTCGTGAGAAAAGTTGAACTTTTCCCACTTGTTGCACAATATACTATTTCCTGATAAAATATGAATGATGAGAGGGAAATGAATGTAGACTCTCTAGATGTCAATCATAACATTGAATGTCATGTGAAATTGAATCGGTAAGTCAACTTCAACTATAACAGGGTCATATTTGAGTACCAATGAAGTTCCGCTTTTGTTGAAGTTTCTTCGAAAATGTCTCATGAAATCAGGTACCCCACATAAAGGGTACTTCTTAAATGAAAGGAAACCTCAAGTTGAATATTATGAAACCGACTGTTAGCATTGCCATCAATCTCCGCCACTCATGTAGAAGAAGGAGGCGGAACAAAAATGTCACAGTATTGTTACAAAACTAGTCACAAAAACGTCCCAAAAACGTCACAGGTCTGTCATAGCATCAGAAATGACACAAAACCACCACGAAAACGTCACAGAATTGTCAAAACACGTTAAGTTAGTCAGGTATTTCAGTTAAGAACGAATAATTCGAGTTCTGTATCGGTAGAATTATAGTAAGGTGAGCTTAAACGCATCTTCGTATACGTCACTGCGAGTAGAACAATTGCTCGTACTCTGAGCTTAAAGTTATGCAGTTCACCCCAGTCGCCGTAATCATTTTGGTGCGAGTATGAACTCGCAATGACGTTATGCGCAGAAGAGACGAATCAAAGATACCTTAGTAGCACACCATATTATATTCCCACCATGAATCCACCTAGAACGAACATAGCATCTCTACTGTGTCCTAACTATTCGAGAATCATCAAACGTCAGATCGCCTAGGCACTCGCTAGATGAAGGTACTAGATTATTGTCATCAATTATCGTCGTCGTCATCGTCGTCATAAGAATGTGCGGTGGGACAACACAGTCCCTCCGAGCCATCGGCCCTCATGCAGAACAGAAGGGACTCGGCGGTAGTGACCTCGTGCGGCATTATGCCGTGGAACTCTTTCAGATCGTTGGCGGGAAACCAGGCTGTCTCGTTGTCGTCAATCAAAATGTAGCCGAATAACCTGCAACCAAAAACGGTAATTTATCGAAGATATCAAATCTTGGACCGATCGCTTTGATATCGGTTCTTTGGAAACTTATTGAGACATCAATTCCAGCCGACGTCATATATCTGCTTTCTACATCCCCAACCCTCTGCCAGGGAGAAGGACAACCCTTGGATTTTGAATCGTTAGAAGACGTGGTACAATACCTCATTCCGTAGAATTCATCGAGAGCATTGAGACCCTTGATTTCACGTCATCATTTCTATCTATAACGAAATGGGAGATAAAATATTGAGAGAGACAATGCCGATTCTACCTAGAAAATATTCTTCATATATATATCCCTTTTATAAACAATAATGTCTCTTAGGGGGATAAAGATAATCAACCAAAGAATTTCAGTAGCATATGGAAAGGATTCATCAATTCGTTATCTTTTGTAACAAAAAGGATCATGGACGTATTTTCTGTTCAATTGACGTCAATCGTACAGTTTGAACATACAAGCTGTAAGATTTTCGAATAAATACTCATTGGTTTATCCTCGAAACAAATCATCGTGAATCAGTGAATGTTGATTCATCTTTTGAAGAATTCTGTTCTGTGATACTTGATCTCTGACCGTTTCTTGTTATGTCACAAATGCCAGAGCTACTAAATGTTGCAAAATGATTGATATTTGGCATAAAAATGTTGCCAACTTGAACGTACATAAGTACTGCCCGCATCATGACAACATTTTATGAGGAAGGGGGATACAAAAACCATTCCCTGAAACTGTTGGATTCTGTTAAAAACAGGGCAATCCGTCTCGTGGGTGATGCCTCGCTCACAAACTCACTCACTTCTCTGGAAAACCGTTGGAAAGTTGGTGATCTGGCTCCATTTCATAAATATTTCCATGGACGATGCTTTTATGAAATATCAACAATTGTTCCTTCCTTGGCAGTCCCGCGAGATTAACCCTTCGAGTTGAGGCTTCGCACCCCTTCGTGGTCATTTTGAAGACCTGCAGAACATCTCTTTCCAAATACTCGTTCATCCAACTAACAGCGAGGCTCTGGAACACATTGCTAAGGAGAGTGTTTCCCGAGGCATATAACGTCACGAAATTTAAGGAGAACACCAATTCCTACCTTATTTCCCTTGGTTCTCATAATCTTTTCTCAACCTTACAGGATATCCCTTGGGATACCAGAACATAAAAATATTTAGAAAGCAGAACACAAAAATAGAAGCACATCATGTAGGTACCCAGAATCAAATCAACAGGTGAAATAAAGTTATTTGAAACATATTGATTTCGATTATCAACACACAGTTTTCGACCAACCAAAAACGTGTATTATGAAATCAGTAAAATAATTTCTCGAATCCCCTCGACTCACTTTTCTACCTCTATTCTTCTCGGGGTGTCACTCGATGCTCATGGATCTTCGCACACCACTCATCACATCACATCACACTGGATTGATAGGTAGCCACATCTCAAATCACAAATCGAATCAGTCCTGCCCAATTTCATTTTTCATTAAGATACCCTCACTCTTCTCCTGGTCAATTCCATTTTGAATTGATATGTGATGAATCCGAATCTTCCATCCTTAGTGTTTCTTTGAACAAAACTCGAGTGTCTATTCAAGTGTAATTGAGAAATACATACATCTAGAGAAATATCCTATTTTGACCATGTTTACTTCCTGGAGTACATTTTTAATCGGTTCTGAATAATTCAACATTTCATTCATTTTGTAGTTGGTCATCAACTTTTTTCTTCGGTTTCATCGTTTCAATCGAATTCCCTTCGAATACTGAAGTCAGGAATCGATTTCAATGGAATCTCATATTATATTATCAGTTCCAGTTTCAGAAGATTGAAGAAATCTCAATGGTTTTCGTGTGTTTCATTCAGCAAAATACCAGATGATTGCCAAGAATCATGCATTGCTATTGGTTGAAATCACCATAATATCATATTTCTAAAAACAAAAACAGAAAAATCTATCGACTCATTACCTTCCAATGGCCGCCCCTGGTATCCACAACACCGACGCCATCACCAGCACCGTAATCAGCAGAACGGCCCACACGGGCCACGGATGTCGCTCGCTCTCCCCTCTGGCGGCCACCCACGCGAAGTAGCCAGTGCCATCCACGGCTATCTGGATGAAGCTGGCCACCAGGATGGAGAGCATAGCCAAAGGGGAGAGGTACTTCCAGCATATCAGCCAGTAGAGGCCAGGCCGGCTGCCCGTCATCATCTCGATGTCGTCGGCAAATCTGGAAAGAATATGAGAATAATCATTACATAGGATCGATATGCAATTCAAAAAGGAATTGATAATGTGTAACGGTGCACTAGTGGATCTTCCATAACGTCTGTCCATCATAAGTATATACAGTCTGTATAATATTTCTTTGCGTGTGACTGAAATTAGCATAGACCTGCACTGAGAGAAAACTTGAGTTATCATAATTGGAAATCTGATAACCGTTATTACGATATCTGCAATAAATAGGGGACAGATGTGTTCATTTGCTACCATAGATGAAGTGAATTTTCAGGTGACTTGTAGTTATGGCAGCTCATTCAATTTGCAAACTTGTATAAAAACACCGCTGCTGAATAACTACTACTTGTTCTAGTTTCTATATAATAACACAGAATGTCGAATAGGAATTATTACCATAAAATGTTGCAGTAACTCTCCACTCTACAGTGGTTATTAGACTATCGACATAAAACAGCATGTTTTTATTGCTGGCACAACCATCTTGAGGTGACGCAGTAATACGTCTCATTTTATTATAGTTATCTGATATCTGCATGAAACCTGACATTTTGACATGCTATTGTAATATAGCTCATTTTCAACAGTTATCCCAATATTTTTCTACTCTAGTATATTCATCAAACAGTGGTAATAAGGTTATCTGATCAACATCATTCGATGGTATGCATTATGAAACCGTGCTTTGAATTACTGCAATGAAAATGAATATCCTATCCACACTATCACTTTTCATGATCCAAAGTTATTGTTTCCAAAAAAACAAAAAAAATACGTTTAGTCTCTGAATTGAAATATTTGGGTATCTGTGGAAGTTTTTTGACATTACTCATTGATTTTTCCGGATTAATATCATCTATATGCATTACTGACGATTTTATTAAGAAATGAGAAGTTGAATACTTATATTTACCCTTCCTTCGGAGTTATAATGAGAATTGTCAATAAAACTTTCCTCACAGAAACCCAGATATTTTGATTCAGAATCTCATCGATCATTTTGTTTTTGAAATAAACCAATTTTAGGCCGTGAAAAGTGGGTATGGAGAATGGAGAATATTTTCTTCATTGCAATAATGCAATGCACGGTGTATTCCTCAGATCGGTTCACAGCCAGCACTCTAACAAAACTTTGCTACATCACAGACATTCACCTACAAGACACGGCTCTATCGATTCGGACGATCGAAACCATTGAACAATAATTGAACACGGGCACCCATGACCGACAACAGCAGTGAAATGAACGCGATCTGTATCTCTGTCAGCCCCAATACTAATGAAACACTAGAGCGAAATGAGCCGAAATTGTCGAATGATTGCCTAATAACCATCATACATGTGGATTGCTAGAGTTATTCCTCAACGTACAATGCTAGAAACCCAAACAGCTATAATTATTGGGACAAACATTATCTGAATTCACCAATGAGGATAATTCACAAAACGAGCTATGTCAATAAAAAATCTAAATAGACTGGAATTTATAAAATTCTCATAATGTCATAACACACCTGCGTTATGATGGTAGCAAATGTCCATTCAAGGGTATTACAAATGATTTAAGAAATCGATTTTTATAATTAGAGAATGGAGAGAATACTGTTGTAATAATAAACTGATCAGGATCAGGAGATTTCCTCATAATAGTTATCACAATCAGAGCTGGTAGATATTTTTAATATCCAGTTTCTCTCAGTGTGCACATCTTGCTATCCTCTTCAGACTTACATATAGAACAGCAATGTCTATCATGTCGTTTGTTGACATAAGTTGCGACATCATTTCTGAACTCAACGGGTTGAAAGCTTGAATACAAAGGTGTTCGTATCGTATGTCGAGACACATTCGAATCGGCTAATTCAGAGGCGTGCAGTAGGTGCTGAAATGACATCGTTTTGCGTGTCCATTGTGAAATAATATTCAACATGCCAGGAAGACTTTTGAAATCGCAAGCACGAAGTCTTGTATCGAATTTGTGACAATATTTCACAAGAGAGAAAGACGATAATGGTCCTTGAATTCCGGTTAGTCAGAATAGTCAGACCTTACTTCAAGAATATCATCATGAATTACATAATTTCAGCGTGTCGCTGATGCCCTCAATATTAGTCTTCGGACACTTTCGTGTATTAAAGTACGTTCCGAGAAAAACGAAAGTTTGAGTACGCCAGGGAAATCTAGGACTGAAAAAAACCCAAGACAGTAGATCTGGATGATAATTTGAAAATGGAAGCACGCAATGTGATGTATATAATTATACTATATGTACAGTGTGTCCATTTAGTGCGTAATTCTTCGATATCTCGAAATCAATTATCACAAGAGAAAAACTTTGGAGAAAAAACTTTGTCAGTTACTAAAGTTGCTCATTTCGAAAATATTTCCAACGATACTAGGTGTTTCATAAAAGCAGGGCAACTCGAAGACGAGTTTTTTCAAATGGAACACCCAGTATTGTTCATTCGAAATTTATTTTGCTCAAGTTCAACTCTACATCGCTGTAAGAAAAATTGAATTTGGTTGCGGCGTTGCCAAGTTATAATTGATAAACCCATTTTTACTACTATTGAAGGGTCATGTTCAATTGGGTATGGTATATTTATTTATTGAAATTTCGAAATTATTTTTGGCAAGGTCTCACGTATACCAATCCAGTAATCTTGCGAGATAATCCTCTACAGGGTGCTAAAATTTACATTCTGAATATTGTAAGATTCAGACGACGATCATGAGAAATTTTCAAATGGAACACCCTGTATTTTTCATCACGGATTTATTTCGACATCATTCGCCTTTTCATCGCAGAAGAAAAAATCGGAATCGGTTGCGGCATTTTCAAGTTATGAGTAATTTCTTTATTTTTACTACTATTTCGGGGTAATTTGTTCGTGCTGATGGTTCCTTAATTTGATTTGAGTGTGGGATTATTGCTTGCCACATGACATTCGTGGTTCTACATAGATCATTCAGGTATTTTTGTGATATGTGCATCGTCCAAATTTGAAATATTCCGTAATCTTGCTACTTATGATTCAAATGATATGTGAAACAAACAAACATGCCAAAAGCAACGCCTGTCTTTGAAATAACTTCTACAATACAAACAATGAAGATGCGGATTGCGAAAATAAGAATTTTTTTTGAAATTTGGTCATTTTTATTGTCGTTATTCCCACAATCCAAATCTCCATTTACCTTGAAGAAGGTAAACATAATGATACAAACAATATGTCTCCACTACGCAGCTTTTGGGAGGAAATTCAGCAAAATGTCGAATCAATCCAAGATTTATTTGATTGTAGCGATGTTTGACAGGTCTTTACACAAATATTTCGAACAAAATTCAAACTTGGAGAGCCTGTAAATGTTCCCTTTGTAAAAAAATATATGAATGGTCAATGAAAAAATTTGATTATACCCTAGCAACGCAATATTTCCACAATACAAATAAATGAAAGAACTATGACGTACAAATTACCCCGGAATAGTAGTGAAAATAGGGAAATCAACCATAACTTGACAACGCCGCAACCGATTTCGATTTGTTTTCCAGCAATAAGAAGGCGAAAGATGTCGAAATTAATATTTGAATAAAAATACAGGGTGTTCCATTTGAAAAATTCTGATGAATGTCATCTGAATCTTGCAAAATTCTAAATGCAAAATTGAGCACCCTGTTGAAGAACATATCGCAAAATTACTGGATTGGTAAACGTTGGACCTTGCTCCTACCGTATGCCAAAAATATTTTCAAAATCTGAAGAAATGAATATACCATGCCCAATTGAACATGACTCTTCAATAATGGTAAAAATAGATTTATCAATTATAACTTGGCAACGCCGCAACCGATTTCAATTTTTTTCACAGCGATGTGAAGGTGAACCTTGACGGAATTAATTCCGAATGAACAATACTGAGTGTTCCATTTAAAAAACTCTTCTTCGAGTTGCCCTGCTTTTATAAAACACCCAGTAATGTTGAAAATTATTTTGAAATGAGCAACTTTAGTAACTGAAAAAGTTTTTTCTCCAAAGTTTTTCTCTATAGGTGATGACTTTCGAGATATCGAAGAATTACGCACTAAATGGACACACTGTATATGCAGAAAATAATTGATTCCATTTGATACTTCTTGACTACCTTCAACTGACTATTTTACAAAAAAACACATCACTCTTAGAATTTTGAAAGAAGAACTCAAAACTAAACATATTCCTGACGCAAGCATAGGCACATTGAGCAAATTCCTCACAAATGTAGGATTCAAATATAAAAAATGAGACAACAGACGGTTATTGGTTGAGAAGAAGATATCCATGATGAGAGCAGAGTTTTTCAGAAAGTTTTATGAAAACCGCAATTCTAGTTACCCTAGCCTATAGACAAATCGTCTTCTTATATGAAACTTGGATATTAGGGGAAGGGAATAAGATGAGATTATGGCAAGATCAAAGTACAAAAAGTGTTCGTAAACCAGAAGGTTATGATGAGGAACGATTTATTGTACTTCATGCTTGCCATTGTGGTAGTTTTGTGAAAAATGCTGCATAGTAATATATCAGATACCTTAAAAGACTCAACAGTGTTCGGCTTTGCCACGACCACAAAATATCTCAAAAAAGCATTGAATAGATGTGTATATCGGGTCGGGTCCATATACATCATCAGAACGTATCGACACAGACCGTCGATTAGTAGGAATTTATTTGACTAGAATAGTAAGAAATCAGAATAGCAAATCATCAGAACCATATTTCAGCGACTGCAATATGTACAACCCGTAATTTGTCGAACCGTACTTTGACAGACTGCATTATGTCAGAATGCATAAATCACAATAGTATATCGAAAGACTGCCATATATTCAGAAGTGTACTTTGCCAAACCAGTAAATAAAATACTCTTCATGTCGTCAGAATCATAAAAATATATAATCTTAAAGTCATAGAACCGTAAAAGCACAGACTGTAATTCAGCGACCCG